TATATATATATATATATATATATATTAGAAAATTACTTAAGTGGTGATATGGAAACTTTTTAGTACTTTTTTAGTATTTTACATTGTTGTTACTGAAAGTTTGCAGTCAGTCAATAAATTATGAAATTTCGTAGCATGTCTGTAATTTCAAATCCTTCTTAAGATACCAGCTTTTTCAATTCTTTTTTACAATTCATGACATTCCATGCTTGTATGATTTCCAAAAGTCCACACATTGTATTCAGTTTAATTCATATAGCTCACATTTTTCACCAAACATGCTTGCCCTTTCAGCCATGGGGGTATTATAATGTGACAGTCAATCCCACTATTTGTTGGTAAAAGAGTAGCCCAAGAGTTGGCGGTGGGTGGTGATGACTAGCTGCCTTCCCTCTAGCCTTACACTGCTAAATTATGGACGGCTAGTGCAGATAGCCCTCATGTAGCTTTGCATGAAATTCAAAAAACAAAACAAAGATATTTTTCATGACTTACATACTACAATTCAAGGCTAATGTAACCTACTGAAATCCACCTTAGTGGCTATTAAACTCCAAAAATTAAGTTTTAGGAAGTTGCTTTTTGCATACTTTAAAAAGATTATTGTTTCACATTTATAATCGTTATGTTTTTGCTGGTCACAGTTTCCATTTGTTTTTGTTTCTTGCAGCCATGACAATCAAAAGAAGATACCAGACCAAATACAAACTTCCCACCCTTAACTGGACAGCACTAAAGCCTAACCAAGTAAAAGGAACTGTGTTTAGTGAGCTGGATGAAGATAAGTTGTATAGAGTGGGTTTTTGGATCTATTACTGACTAGTCTTATTAAGTGGTTAAGAATTTCACTACATTTTATTGCATATCTTATTTGAAGTTCATATTAAAGATTACTATTTAGGCTTTTTATTATGTTATCATTTCAACACTTTTTAATAAAAGTGTCTGTTCACTAAGTTCATGTGCTGAAGTCTTTTCTGAGAAACAAGATATAACTAAAGAACTTTATTCACATGTTTATCCAAATAGTTTAGGAATTTTTTCATTTTATTATGTTGATGTGTGGAGAAGGAGCAGGATTCTGATATCCATCCTTGTTTATAAGCTAAGAAGTTGGGTTTTAACTTTTAGTCTCCACTTCATTGGTTTATTATGAAGGTTTATTGCCTTATGTGGTGTGGCACTATCAAGAATTTCACAGAGTGTTCAATACTTTTCTGATTTAGCTACTTAGCAAGTATTATTGTGGTAAGTTTATGTTTACACTTGGTTATAACCTTCTTGTAGAATTTGCTATATTACTTCATGTCTAGTTTCCCACATTATCACCAGTGCTTGTTTGAGTTCTTTATTTAATTCTTAGTTAGTTGTTCCTCCTCAAAGTACTAGAGACACCTTACTTAAACTTATTTAGGTAGAGCCATGATAAGCAATTATTTGCCATTGGTTACAATATATTCCATTATTTATGCCTACAAATGTTGAAAATTTTGAATCAAAATTTCTTGGATTACTGGAATGAATTTCTAACATTTCCCTGATTCTCTTTTTATCTGCTTTGTTGCAGATAACTAATCTACATGGCCTGTGTTTGTGTTATAGGGTACCTTTAGCATATATCTTGTTCCATAAGCTTTTGGCAGCATTTATAAAGTCAAAGTTACTTCATTTGCACCAAGACTTGTAAATATTCTAATGGAATACCACTTGTTTAAAGATACAAATCCAATGGCCTAGCATGGTCAATCAAAGAGTATTTAGCCACAGTAACTAAAGCATGTTTGATGTAAACCAGAACACAAACATTTAGTTAGAAAAATATTTCACTAAAGAAAAAAGCATTTATTTACACACTTAATACAGAAAATGTGTCGCAACTCCTGATTTCTTCTAACTATTAATAACAAATAATGTTAAAATGATGAATTTTCAAACATAAATTTCTGTCCTATAAACACTATATAGTAATAAAAGAAATTAAAGACTAGAAAACAGTCATTTTATAAACAGTTATGAAACCCAACAGTTATGTAAGCTGATATCATAAATGGTACAGAAGATATAATCAACTAACTTTAGAGGGATGTGTACAGTACACAAATCTGCATGGTTGAAGCTACATTTCCAGTACAATCCTTGTAATCTAAATACAATGATTATTGATATTAAGAAATTGAATCATACACTTTTTCAGAAACTTGTATGTATATTTTTGTTTGAAAGGATTTTGTACACATTTTATTTATTCTTAAAGTTTGTACTCAGTACTATTATGATACAGTGTATCTGAGTACTTTTATCATATTTATTAAAGTATTAAGTGACTGTCAGAACACTTTGAATGTATGTTTAACTGATATGTGATAGAAAATATGTTTTAAAAGGATCCAAAGGTTCAATTTATACATAGAATTAATAGCTAAAAGATGCTTCCTGCAAGTATTGTTTATATCTGCAGAAGGGTCAAGCAGTAGAACTACTTACTAGAGGATTTGACATTTGACAGTAAAGTGAATTTGTTTGCTAAATAATTTTAAAAGAGAGTATCACATTGTAATATATAATATTATAGGAGAGAGAGAGAGGATGTAGGTGAAAACAGTTCATAAAATGGCTTCATTCAAAGTGAAAATACACTTGATTGAAATATATATATATATATACTATCTTGAATGCTCTATTAGATCTGATAAAGTATACAAATTTTTTATTTTAAAATGTTAGTTAATATTCAAATCTTCCCATTCAATAGGTTATCAACTTCTCTGATTTTGAAGAACATTTTAAGCTTAGTCAACAAGGTGGTTTTACTGATCGAACAGATGATATTAATTGCAGTAAACGTTTTAAGGTAGGATTTTATCAGAATTGTGGTGTTTTTGATAAACATTTTTCTTCACTTAGAATTAAGTCTACTAATATTTTCAGATATGCATGGGTTGAAATGGTGTTAATTAGATATTAAACATATTCCTACTGCAAAACTGTTTATTATTCTTCATTTAGTTATTCAGTGAGACCCTCACTTTGTAGTTAATATTTGCACAAGCCTCTATTATGATTTTCACTGCTCTGTTAAAACATCCAAAACGTTTTTTTTTACAAGTTATTTAAGAAAACATTATTTAAAATATATTTTCTAAATATATTCCAAATCAGATTTTTCAGAGATATCACCATGACATTTATTGATAATACATCATTCACTCTTTAACTTTTTTAAGAAGTTATTTTATGGATTTTTGCTTTCTGTACAAAGTTTAATTGCAAGCCAGTAAGATCACGTAAAAGGACGATGTATTTAAATCCTGCCCATTTTCAAAATTTCATTAGTGCAGAATACCTTTTGTTTTATTTTTCACTCTACTGATGGTTATGTCACAGGTTTTCTTCATGGATTATCTTCACACATAGAAAAACATTTGTGATTGTGTCGTAATATTCATTTTGTTTAGAGGTCAAATGTTTAACAACAAGTATATATATATGTGTGTGCGTGTGTGTGTGTGTGTTTGTGCCATATGTAAACTCTCTTGTTTCAAAGGAATATACTGTGTGGGGAAATACTGCAAATGTTTCAATCAATGACTTTATGAATCATTGTTAACCATTATTTAATCATAGATAATTTTTCATTATTGTACAGCTTATAGTGATGAACACATTATGGTGCATTTCTAAATAAGTACCTATATTTATATATTCTATTCATGTAGAGAAGAAGCAAACATACACATGCTTTTTTTAGATATGTACACACACAATATATATATTTTGGTTCAGTTGAAAATAGCAACTCAAATCAAGATACATCTTCTCAACATTGATTATGTACAAAAATGCATCTAATGTTTTGATTATTTACTCTTTAATAAAGAAAAATTTTTTTAAAGGGTGCATATGTCAAACTAAGTTTTTCTGAATTTCATTTGTTTATAGAAACATTTGTCAACCATGGTGTTGACATTAATGCTTTTTCTCTTTTATTTCAAATTATTAGTCTGTAATCTAATTATTTTTCAGAAATCTAACTTGCTTTGGTTTTTCTGGCATAGTGTTTACTGAGATGTTGTTTTTTAAGAAAAAAAATTAGCTGATGTGACCGTTAAATGCACAAGGAAGACAATGGGGCCCCTCAGGGTGATATGGGGGTTCAAATCTGAATGCAGTTAGGAGGGGTGTGTAATGACAATCCTACAATGAGCCTTTTGCAACAGAAACTATGCTGCAGGGTTATTGTCAAGATGCATAGTCATCAGATAAGGCATGAATGGATGAGTAACATGGAGTGTAATGACATGGTGAGGATCCAAAATCATTTTAACATAACATATGCAACTTTTGTATTCACTGACCACATAGTTTATGGGGTGCTTTGACATTCTAGTTCATATATTCACTCGCTAAACATTTCAGTTTATAATCAGTCAATCATTAAGGCAGTTTTTAAAGCTCACACACAAAATACTAGCGCATTCTACAATTTATTCATTTTCTTTTGTATTTTCTCAATAAATTCACCATTTAGCTTAACTATTTGTTTATGACTCCTGTGTCTGTATCACTTCTTGGTTTTCATAACTATTTCCATTACTGTATATCTAGTGACATAAGTTCTAGAAAAAGTTTATTTTATAATGAAGAATGACATTGTAAGAGTAAAAAGAAAATCACATATAAGTGATACTTAATAGTCAACAGGTGTACCAAATGTTTGAGAGGTATTTTGCTTTAATCCTGTGGAGAATGATACACAGTGCAACAATATTTATGGTAACTCTGAGCTTCTGTAACGTATCTTTATAAAAATTGGTGAAATTTTGTTTAAAATTACAAATATTTTGTATACCAAGAATGAGATTATTTTTATCAAGTATTTCAAATAAAATGTTATTTATTTATTGTAGTTATTTGCACTCAGACTCTGAATTGTTTGAATGCAAGGTGATTTTCATGTTAAGTTTAAAAATGCTTTTTTTCCACATTATCATTTTCAAATTTCATTTGCATAACTTCTAGAACCTTCTAAGTGAATAGCATAAGTTGTTTTAAGGTAAATGTTTATATTTTATTTTCTCTTTTCTCTAACATATCACGAACTCTAGCTATTGTCATCAACATATAGTGCTATGAAATGCTTTAAAACGAAATATGTACATACCTTTTAATTTTCTTCAAATAATCTTGAAACATCTTCTTTCGGTTATATTCTTAATTGCATGTCTTTACCTTTTCACATATAACTTATTTTTAATGCTTTATTTTCCATTCCTGTCCTTTATCATTCTTATTTTTCATTGCAATACACATTCATGGGCATTCCTGGCCAATATTACAGTAGCACAGACTCAGAAACTTTAGCTATTGGTAGAATGGTGCACTTGTTAATCCTCGTGAACCGAGGAGAAGATGGTTTATATTTAAAAAATATTAATCCATTTAAATATGTATCTTAAAATATAAATAGGACATAATTAAGTAAAATATAAAACTAAAACCTAAATACAATGCAACTTTCTATCTAACTAATGTATTTCTAGGTGAGAAACAATGCTAAAGTGGTGAGGACAAAAGCAGCAACAATGCTAAGAGCAGTCTGACTAGTTCTCTATAGAATTCTTTGTGTCAATTTTAAAATAACTGTTAGGAGAATGTATTTTAAAAAGTGATCTTTCCTTCTAGATCAACTCAGTATAATTGGGCATGGCCTCTGTCAAGAATTTAGATAAATTTATTTTTCCTTTCTCCGAACATGCCCTAAAGAGTTTGAAAATCAAATGTGTAAACAGACAATTAACTTATTTTCTGTTTATATGTAGAAGTAGGGTGTATGTGTAGAAGTATTCAAGTATTCATAATAACTAGATATAATAAGATTGGTAAATAAAAGCAAGACAGTCATAGCATTAAGTTAGAGTTTCGGGGTGTAAATTATTACTATAACGTTAAAATAGGCTTAGTACATGTAACAGCATTTTAGGTGTTTTTTAGGTATATTTCAACTTATTAAATAAATACAATCTAAAAACTAGTTTATCATCTCTTAGTGTTTTAAGAATTAACTTGTTTACTTGAACTTAGATCCATTAGTTTAAATTCAGCTTATTGATATAGGTAGGTTATAATATAAATCAGGCTAAATACATTTTATTATTAAAGTCACGTATATTGTTCTAATAAATTATTAAGTTCTATATAATTAAAGATAAACTTTATTACTTTAGTGTGAAGACAAAGTAGTGATAAAAAAAATATATATAATTGGTTCTTAAACGTTAGGCTTAACAGTAACAGTGTTAACAATAGGATACTGGTATTTGGTATTGAGTATTTATTTTCAGGTTGTAAGTATAAATACAATGGTTAAGACTAGTTTAGAAGTTAAGCATTCACAGTTTATGAGGTGTAATGGGTGCAATGAGTGGGTTTTATTTGTGAACTCGGGACTAGAATGTACTTTTAAGGAAGCTAGTAATGAAAATGTGCAATTTTTATGTAGAGTTTGTAAGTTGGAGGAGAAGTTAAAGGTAATCATGATTAAAGTAGAAGCAATAGATAAAGAGAAGTGTAGATTGTGGGAAATGGCAGCAGGATTTCAGGAAGAGCTTAAGCTTTTACATTCAAGGGATACATCAGCTAACAATGACTTTCAGGAAGTTAGAAAGAGTACTATTAGAGTAAAAGTATTGAATTTTTGTTATAATGAGCCTATTCTCTTAAGCAACAAATTTCAGCCCTTGGCTTCTGCAGATGGGGAACTATTGGAGAGAAGGAAAACAAGAGGGTCAGAGAATGATATGGATGATAAGGATATTATAGTTATAGGTGTATGTAGGGGCTAATCATGTAGGGAAAGGTAGATCAGAGGAGCTAATTAATAAGTACAAGGGGTTGATAATGGCATTTAAAGAAAAAGTCCATAACTTAATTTTGTCAGGGATACTGCCCAGAATTAACTGTGAGGATGAAGTTATAAGTAGGTCACTAGGGCTAAATGCTAGGCCTAGGTTATTATGTAAGGATGAGCAAATTGGCTGGTTGGACTTGTGGGATCAGTTCAATGGAAGAAAGGGAGCTTTTTGGAATGGATGGTTTACATTCAGATGGAGTAGGGGCTGGCTTGTTTGCTAAGGCTATTAACTCAGCTGTAAGGGTAGTTTTAAACTTGGACTAGAGAGTGTTGAGGGCAAGGAAAAACTAAATGCAAAAAGAATAAGAGGCAGAGAAAAGCTTAGCATAAGAAATGAGTATAAAAGTAGTTATAAGGATAGGCTTAATTGTTATTATTGTAATGCTAGAATATAAGAAGTAAAATAAATGACTTTAGAGCACTGGTAGGAATGGAGGATTTTGATATAATGGAAATAACTGATACATGGTTAAACGTAGATGATTTTGATGACAGAAATTTCTTTGAAATACAAGGTTACAGGCTATTTAATAGGGATAGGGTGTTAAAGAGGGGGGAGAGGAGTGGCTTTATATGTAAAATGTAAGTTACGTCCTGTTAAAGTTGAGGATATCAAAGATAATAGCAAAGAGATTGAATCAATTTGGGTTTATATCAGTGGATATAAAAGGAAAAGGCTTTTAGTGGGAATTTATTACAAACCACCAAATGATACTGATGAAATTAGTTAGAAACTTTACAATGAGATTAAGATTTCAACTGTTAATGAAGTCATAATTATGGGTGATTTTTAATTTCAGGCATATAGATTGGGAAATTCTAGAGTCAAACCATGAGGGAGAAAGGTTTTTGGAAACTGTTTAGGATGGCTTTCTTCACCAATTAGTCAAAGAACCAACTAGAAACAATGCTATTTTAGACTTATTGTTAACTTCAAATAC